TCCCTCTCTTTTTATGAGTGAATTTTGTATTGACCATCCTGTTGTGGCGCTGCCTGCCGGTTAATGTGCTGGATCACAAACTCGGTTTGTAAGACCAGAGGTTCAAGCTCACCAGCCGCTCCTTGGAAAACCTATACAGGTTCACTATGAGTCGGGGCCGACTTGTCAGCATTTAACAACAACAACAAAATTAAGATAAAATGTATTTAATAGACTCCTGTGCTGTGGGTTAATACACTGGACTGCAAAGTTGGTTTGAACTATAAGGTCGGTGGTTCAAGTTCACCAGCAGCTTCTCAGAAACACTATACAAAGTTGCTGTGGGTCAGAACCAACCCAACAGCACTTGACAACAACACTCTAGCATTTTGAATCAGCAGCTCCTAGGAATACAAGAAAGTTTTACACCTGAGATCTGTGGTTACTTTAAGCTTATGGTAAGGAGTTCTGGTTAGTTCACCTGCGTAGAGGTTACAGGTCAGGCTGGTGACCTTAAGGTCAGCAGTTTGAAACTACTGGCTTTCCCGTGGGAGAAAGATGAGACTCTCTGCTCCCATAAAGATTTACAGCCTCAGAAACCCTATGCAGGGTTGCTATGAGTTGGAACCGACTCCCCGGCATATCACCACCACCACCAAGCTCATGATAGAGTTAATATCCACTTATTCAGTAGTTCTTCTAACTACAGTGGTATTCTTTAATTAAGGAAAAATGTTGATGATAATATTAAGATGTTGCCTCATTATGAAAACAGATTTGAAAAGCACACAAAAACCACTTACAGCATCACTTTAACTCTTTTCCTTTTCCCAACTGATTTGAATAGTTGTCAAGTAACCAGATGTATAGCTAAAGGCATTGAATCAGAGAATTTTGAAGAAAAAGGTATCATTTGCATTAATTTTACAGATGAGGCTACAAAGACCAGTGGGGAGGTACATTGTCCAGCCCCCTAACAACAACAATACAATGTAGCTAGGAAGAGTCAGCACTCCTGACGTGGAGCTGTAGGATCAGCACTGGGCAGCGAAACACAAGGGTGGGAGTTCAAACCCACCAGCTGCTCCTCAGAAACAGGGTTGCTACGAGTCAAAACCGATTCAACAGCACTTAACAAGGAGAAGTCCAACCTGGAAAGGAACTCACATATGCCTTCTTCAGCAATTCCTAAAAAATTAAAACAACTCAGCATTTACATTTATTATTCTAATAAGGAAGTCTTTCAGTGGGAGTTCATAGCAAAAATCAACCTAATTATTATGACACTATCCTTTCATTGTTTCCATTCCTTTGTAAAAGGAAAGCCTCACAAATTTTATTGTCCGTCCTAGAGTACATTGTTTTGAAGCTAAAAATAATTACACTTTACACTTCTTTAAGCAACTGAAAGACCTTGGCATTTTAGTTCTTTGTTTCACTCAACTACAAATGACACTTAACATAACCGGTGGTGTGAGTATAATTGTTTGGGAATCTGGAACTGCTTATTCAAAAAGAAGGGCAAAGGGTGGGGACTCAGTATAATTATAGAGCTAAAAACCACCTCAGATTTACCATGGGAAATCTAACACAATGCATTGTTCATCTTCAGACAGTTTCTCAATCAAATTCTGAATTGCCCTTCAGATTTGCTGGAATTTTCCTTGTTTATGCAGTTAACACACTTTGCGGCTACCCAAGAGATGCTTATTGTTGTTAAGTGCCATCAAGTGGGTTCCGACCCATAGCAACCCTGTATAGGGTTTCCAAGGAACAGCTGGTGAGCTTGAACCACCGACCTTGCAGTTCAAATGGCTTTGCAGTCTGGTGCACTAACCCACAGCACCATACCAGGATTCCATCCAAAAGATGGTAGCTCCAGCCAGCAGGTGGTGTTCCAGATGCCTTGGAAGAGAGGGCTAGCGATCTACCTTTGAAAAAAATCCACACACGTGGGGTCACCAAGAACTGGAATTACCATGACAGCAACTGGCTGTTATGTCTTGGTGGACCTAAATCCACAAGGGATAGAGGACCACCAGAGTTGGACAAGGTGGAAAGAAACTGGAGCAATATGCTTAGCAAACCTTCATAACAAATGTTCCAGGAGGAATTGCTTCTGGTATGTTAGCTCATTGGTCCTGGGAAGTGTGGAATTTTCCTAAATTTGCATCACTAGGATATAGTGTATTATAGATAGGGGAAAGGAAGGAAAGTTGGCAAGATGGGAAAAATTCAAAGATAAGAGTTCATACTTTTCATTGTTACACATAAGCTCAGAATTAACCGGATGGCATGTAATAACAACAGTAAAAGGCACCAAGTTAGCAACAGACTGAGAGCCTGACCTACTACACTGTACAGAGTACACACCCTTCTCCTCACACAGTGTGGGCTCCATCCTCAGCAAAACTTTCCACTTTGGGTAACACAAAGAGGAAATGTTTATCCATGAGACCAGAAGAACTGTATGGTGCCTGGCTACCACAGGCATGTTGTTGTTGTTGCTAAGCGCTGTCGAGTTGATTCCAACCCATGGTAACCCTGTGTAAGGTTTCCAAGGAGCAGCTGAGCTTGAACCTCCAACCTCGTAGTTCAAACTGACTTTGCAATCCAGTGCGTTAGCCCAAAGCACCACACCAGGACTCCCACCACAGGCATAGAGGATTTACAACACATATTTTGAGAGGACATGTTTAATTCATACAGGGAGGGACAATTTGGAAGAAGAGGGTGAGAAGGGTGCCTAACTTGAAGAATCAAAGTCACTAAATTGTACCTGCAGAAATTATTTAATTGGTATATGTTTTGCTGTACATATTTCCAACAACAAAAAATAAAATAAAATAAATTATTAAAACAAAAGAGTTCATGCTTTTGAGAGACTTATATGTATAATTGGAAACCCAATCTCTTAAGTTCTAAATATCCACTATTTTTTTTAAATGAGCTGGGCTGTCATTTTGGAAGTTGTCATTTTTATCATTAATGATCACATTAAATCCTCTACCAGTCATAGATTTAAAAAACATTCTGGTATAAATCATCATCCCAATGACATTCCTCTGAATTTATGATGAGAACATTCAAGTTGGATTCTCCAATGACAAGCGAGAAAAATTCACTGCCAAGGACTCAATGGCCAGCAGAGGCACCAAGAGGAAACAGCTGTACCATCCCAGCATGCAATCCTTCTCCACATTCCTATGAATACTATACACCAGTTGTCCTGCAGGCAACTCCTGTTCATGGCACTGGATGTACATCAGAGTAGAACTGAGCCCCACAGGGTTTTCAGTGACTGATTTTTCAGAAGTAGATTACTGGGCCTGTACTCTGAAATGCCTCTGGGTGTGCTTATACCTTCTGTCTTTTGAGTATATTAGCAACTGAGCATATTAACCACTTACACTACCCTGAGACATTCATGTTTTTATACCATAGCAGAATTAACCTAAGAAGAATGGTGACAAAGCACTATCAAGTGGGAAGATGAACAAGGGAAAAAGTAGATATGACCACACCCACCACCTGATCTGAAGAGGATCCCATCAGAGACAAGGCTGTGAAGTGGCAGGTGAGAGAGGGATGGACCTTCAGGTAAATAGGATCTCTGGATCTACCCAACATCTCTTAGTCTACTTACCTTTAATGGCATCAGAGAACAGGTATTGAGTGATATCTGCACACATGGCATTGTTCATTAAGGAAGAAGTTCTGAGTACAGACAACTAGAATTCACTCGAAAATCGTTACTGGACATCCACAATGAGCAACACTCTTAAAACTGAGAAAAAGCAATGTTTTGTTTTGTAAGTGGGTTGGTTCATGAGACCCATTCAGCATATTTTTAAAATTTCCTTCCCCAGATTTAAAAACAAAAGACTGGTCAGTGGAAACAAGCTTAGAGTACCTGGTTTATTGAGGTGGGGAGATCATAATGAAAACTATTTGTAACTGCTTATTTGGCAACTTACAAAATAACCATTTGATATAAAAATAACTCCGTTTTCATTATATGTATTATTACAAATGATACAAAAGACCCATAATAGGAAAGCCGATGATATCAAGTTGTTATTCTTCTGCTGCATCAGACCTTTTATATTAGCAAAGACCAGGTTTTTAAATATAGTTATGTTTTTGCTTGCAAGTGCTATCTATCAGAAATTGTGTCTTTATGATCCAGAGTCAATTCAAACCTGAGATGAAAAATTCAAGTGATTTCTGCTCCTTGGACTTTCTTAATGACACTCTTATATAGTAATGCATTATGGCACAACCAAATCATGTCTATCAGAACAAGCCCTGCTTTCAATGCACTCTACTCTGGTCCTAAACACAGAGACACAAAACAGTACAGTTTTATTAATAAAATAATTTCCCCTACCCCAAGCCTAAAAACCACTTTAAAAGAGAAAAGTTCATCCAACATCTTACTCCCAAAGAAGTTTTAGCACTACAACAGGGACTGGCCATGCAAGAATATGCTCTTAAATAACATATCATATCAATGTAAAGTTTAGCAAAAATTCCATCACTCAGAATATTAGATTCTCATAAATGATAGGCATTGAGGAAACAATTGTACTTTTCTAAATAGCCAAAGGCTGGAAAAAGATTTACTGTCGGCATTTCTTTTAGAATGTTTGGCCACTAACAATTTTAACCAATAACTCCTGCTTAATAGGTCCAAACCATTCAGTCTGGGAAAAGAGGTAACTTAATCAGGTTAAGTGATTAAGTGAAAATTTGGAAGCCATTTTTACTGTACAAAAAGATAAGTTTCAGATTCATCTTCTTTTACAAATATAATATAAATGTTATGACAGATATAAGGCAATGGTGGTGTACAATAGATAATTAGTTAAAAGAAAGGAGTCTTGTTTAACTCCCACAAAACATATAAAAGATGAACACTTTGATATCACTGTGGAGCAGGTTCAAATTTGTCCAGAACAGTGTCTTTCTCCGGGACTCCTCTCAGCAGTGTTGGCTGTCTACAGTCTGCATTCCTCACACTAGGCAGATGTGTAGAAGTATCTGGGCTTGGCATTGCCCAGAAGATCATCTTCATAGTTAGGGAGGCAGCAGAAGAAGAAGGCACAGCCGATGAGGATGATTGTGGCCGCCCAGCCGAAGCCATAGGCCCAGTTGTAGATGTAGGTGACCGCAACGTCACTGTGAAGATTGAATTCCTGAGTGTATTTCACTGGATAAATCACCAGGGATATGATCTGGAACACAGCTAAAGGGGAAACAAATTCCAAAGTAAAGACACATGAGTGAAGGAATGCATGGTCACAGCAGATAAAGTCCCTCTTCCACAGCAGGTTTTGCCTTTTATCAGTACTGAATCCAACCCACAGTGACCCTATAGGACAGAGAAGGATTGCATAGGGTTTTTATCAGGCAGTGTTTCGTTCTGCTGTGCATAAGGTACCGACTCGATGGCACCTACCACCAACAATCTTTACAGAAGCACATCACCACGTCTTTTCTCTGCTGGCAGGTTAGAACCGCTGACCATTTGATTAGTACTTAAACCAGTACCCATTGAGCCTCCTTTAAATCCCCCAAAACAATGCTAAAGGAGCCCAGGTAGCTCATTGGTTAAAGCACTTGGGGTCAGTGATTTGAATACACCACATACTCCAAAGGAGATAAGACATGGTAATTTGCTCTCGTATGTTGTTAAGTTTCATCGAGTTGGTTCCAACTCAGAACGACCCTGTATAGGGTTTCTGAGGAGTAGCTGGTGGGTATGAACTGCTGACCTTGTAGTCAGTTCAAAGGTCTTTTGCATAAATTGTTGTTACGTACTGTCAAGTTGGTTCCAACTCATAGCAACCCTGCATAGTGTTTCCGAGGCTGTAAAACTTTGCAGAAGCAGAAAGTCTTATCTTTCTCATGGAGAACAACTGATGGGCTCAAACATTGACCTTGTGGTTCATGCCAGTGCTTACTGTACAGAGCCACAGCCTAGGACACCCTATGGGGCAGTTCTACCCTGAGCTCTGGGATCACTACGAGTCAGAATTGACTCAAAGGCAATGGACGTGGTTTTGGTTTCGGACAGTGCGAATGAAGGGGGTTCAGGAGACCCTGTTAACCATGAGCCAACAAAGATGAACTGCATACTGTGAACCAATGAAGGAGCCCTAAAGCCACAGTAGTTAAGCACACCTCTGCTAACTGAAAGGTCTACCATTAGCACTCACCAGCTTCTTCTCAGGAGAAAGATCTGCCTTCTCCTCCATCCCTCTGCCAAATCCATTCATGCCCCACCATATAAGATCACAAAACTTGCAACAAGAGAAACATTCAGGGACAATCCAGTATCCGCTACATGCGGTTGTTTAGGCTGAAGTGAGAAAGACAGGCAAGGACACATCCAAGCCCAGATCCCTCATCAGAGGTCAGCACTGTGGCCACAGTGGAGAAGGCTGTACTCCTGCCACAAGGATGGTTCAGCATGGACACTCAGGTTGGGTGTCCCTGGTCATAGAGCCACCCAGAGAGGAGCACCCAGAGAAACAACTTTCCTCACTTGGGTGGCAGGACAGAATAGTGTCTGAGGCACAGAGGAAAAGCATCCAGATTTTAAAACATATTTCTCCTAGTTAATCTAGGTCTCTCACTTGTTGACACATTTTCTGAACAGATCATACAGTTGACAAGGATCTTTGTGCAACAAAAAGCTATACTGATATCCACTGAAGGTACAAATGAAACTCCTGACACAGTCTTACCTGCCAGGGCGAGGAGGCCTCCAATCACTCTCAGGAAGACGAGCATTTGGGGTCCACAGAGGGCAAAGAAGGAGAGGATGAAACAGATCACCAGGATGATGAAACCACAGAAGAGCATGGCAGCGGCCGCTCTTCCCCACGCTACAAGGAAAAAGAAACAGTTATGAGGCAGAGAATGCCATATTAGACCCAGGGAGGACCTGTGTATTCTGTAGTTAAATTCCCATGGAAGCCTGTCTAACAAAGGCCTGTCTCCTTGGCTGCTGAACCATATGGGGGTATGGAAGGACAGCCGTGAGTGGGGCAGGGGCAACTAGATTAGGACTCTGTGCATGTCTGGGAGTAGGGGCTGGGGGCGGGGGAGGGGGGGGAGAAGGAGGGATATAAACAGGTGGTCACAATACAGGGAAGGGAGCAGGTTTCAGATGCCAGGAGCATGGACTGGCAGTGGCTTACTAATCATATAGGACCAACGCCTCCACTACCACCCACCTCCCAGAACCAGGAGTCTGGAAACACCCCAGCCAACACCACCAGCAGCACCCATGGCAGGAGCTGCAGCTTGCACTACCTGCCTCATAAGGCTGCACGGCTGCTGGGTCAGTGTATGAAGCCTGTAGGAAGCCAAGAAGAGGCTTAGAAGGAAGTCATACAGTGATTGGGGTTTGTGCCCTGGAGTCTCGCTGCTCATTCACTCTCGGGGTTTGGGGGCTTTAAAAGTACTGAAGGCAAGTAATAAACAAAAGGAGAGCTACTTTCCTTTAAAAAACAACAAAAACCAATTATAACCTCTGGGAAAATGGATGTGCTCGGTTGACGTTGCTTAAATAGACATGAAACAGCAAATACCTGAGTTTGGTTCTATGCAAAAATAATATGTGGAAGCATGTATTTACAACTAGGCAGAGCTGTTAGATAAAATCATTTCATGGTAAAGCAGGACAGGTAGTTATTTTAGTAAATAAGCTTTCTAAATGTTTGCCTTTTAATTTGTGAAGTACTCAAAATCTATTGCAGACATCTTAGTTCTCGATCTTGCCCCTAAAAAGAAGAATGAGGCTGAAATGGAATCCCTAGGTTTGAAACTCGAGAAGGCTACAGCTATTGATCTCTGTGAACAGGACTATTTGATATACACACTAGCAATTTCAGTCAATAATTCTCCTTGTTCAGTCTGCACTAATTCTTCAAATCCCTTCAAACACAGCCTTCTTTTTAGAGCTAATAACTAGCATTTATGAAGCAGTTACTCTGTGCCAAGCACTGAGCTAAGAACTTCACATGTATTGTGGTTTGTTGCTAGTTACCAGTGAGTCGGTTTGTGCTCATAGTGACCCTGTATAGGGTGTCTGAGGCTGTACATCTTTGCGGGAGCAGAAAGCCTCATCTTTCTCCCAAGCAATGGCTGACAGACTTGAACCACCAAGATTGTGGTTGGCAGTTGCTTATGGTACGGAGCCACCACACGTTAGCCCATCTGATCCTCACAATATTATTTTCAGCTACATATTATCTCTAATGTTTTAAGATGAGGACATACAAAGACTTTGGAGAGCTCACATGGTTTGCCCATAGTCACGCAGCTAGTTAAGTAGGCTTGAGAATTTCATCTTCAGCCTGTCTGAATCCGGAACATGGGACAGGTTAAAGTAATTGTCAATATTATTCTTCACTGGGTTTGAAAAGGAGAGTCGGCCCTGGTTCTGCCCTACTCCTGCAATAGACCACAGCTGACAAAATGTATCTCCACTTCTAGCCCAGCTCCCTAGGTGCTTTGCACTCAGCTACTAATTCATCAGAACTTCTCAAGATGTTGCCCACAGACCACTGCATCAAAATCATCAGTAATGTCTATTGAAAATATAGATTCCTGGGCTTCCCTCCAGACTTGCTCAATCAGATCGCAAGAGGTAATGCCCAGGCATCTGCATTTGACTGGCATTTCTTACCTCCATTCAAAACTTCGAGAATTAAAATAGACTATTTAACTCCTTAAAAACTAGTATTTTGTTGTTAAGTGCCGTCGAATCGATTCTGACTCATAACAACCCTGTCCGAGGAGTAGCTAGTGTGTTTGAACTTCCGACCTTGTCGTTCAGAGTCCAATGCTGATCCTACAGTGCCACACCAGGAGATTTAGTACTACCAAGAGAAGAACACACAACTTTCAGTGTGTAAGCCAATGCTTTAACAGTTTTAGTGCTATAGAATTTTTTCATGGCAACTGCTATGAATCCAATCATTAAATTCAATTATGGAAAAACTTACTTTTCCCTTCTAAATTGAATTTAAAAACCTGAAACTGTGCAGCCAAAAGCAACATAGCCTATATGTGTACGCAGGGGAATGTGAGCATAATCAAAATTGATTGCATACTCAAATGTGAGTATCCCAGAAAAACATCCTAACAAGGAACATAACTATCTTTTACAATCAGAGATTAAGGTTTTTTAAAAGCACAGCTAAATAAATCATGTACAGTGTTACTGTAAAAGTACTAGCAATAAGTAGATGTTCATCTGAGGAAAATTAATACAAAACAGGACTTCTGGTGTGGCACTGTGGGTTAATGCACTGGACTGCAAGGTCGGTTTGAACTGCAATGTCAGTGGTTCAAGCTCACCAGCCGCTCCTTGGGAACCCTACACAGGGTCCTATGAGTTGGAACTGACTCGATGGCCTTATCAACCACAACAAACAATGCAAGCAAACAGATGCTTACTAATTTGTATTGAGTTTCAGGTGTTTGAAGGTTATAATATTTAAAAAGTAAGTCAAATCATCTAACCTAATAATAACAGTTGAACATAAACATAAAAATAGACCATTTTTTAAAACTTTTCATAATCTGTGTTAAATCAAGTCAGTTAACGATGTCAAGCTTATTTAAAATGCTGAGTCTACAACAAGCTAAAATGGAAAACTAAGAGGCATTTTGTCTTGAGAAAGGCTGACTTGGAAGGAGAACAAACGTGTAAAACCAGTTCTCTGCAGCTCAGAACCACCTACACTGAATCTTTCACCTCTCCTGGAAGACAGAAATCTTGGCACAGCTTTAGAGATTCTGTCGGCTTGATGACAGGTCTGCAAACAAAGCAATACACCTTCTCAGGTCACTGCTACGTTTTAAAAGGATGACATGTCCCACACGAGGTATGAGCAGGGTCGCCCAAGCCCGATGCTCATCTCAGGAGGAGACCAATGATCAGAAAGTGGCTATTATCCATGATACATAGTTTGAAAAGTTCAGATAAGCCTGTGCCCTAAGTACTTTTCGTCTTTAACTTCTAGAATGAGCCTCCTATCAACAAATTTGCCCAGCACTTTTGAGAGCTATTTATATTTTTCTATTACACCATGGTCCAAATTATATCATATTTATCAACCGTAATGAAAAACACTGATTTTTTAAATTTGTCCTAAAGCTACTTGTTTCATCATTCAACAGTTGGACTTCAGTTCCTCTTCAAAGGCAGACCACCCTGTATCTCGCTTGAATACACTATTATTTTATGCACCAAATTATATCCCCTTTCCTGAATGTGTGGTATGTGTGTGTGATGGGGGTGGTGGGTTGCATTTTTATTGAGATCATGAAAACATTCAAGTAAAAAAAAGTTGTTTCTCTGTGGGAATGTGTTTTTTGTTGGTTTCTTCCTTTATAGACAGATCACTTTGGACTTCTGCATATGCCATCTCTTATGTCCTAAGTCTATTTGCTAAGTACCACTTGGAGAGACTCATATTATCAAAGAACTCACAACTATTATAAAATCCACTTTTAAACAAGGTTTATTAAAGATCCATTTAGAAGAGCATTGGCTTATCAGATGTTGCTATCCCTTGTGAAGGTCCAACATTAAATCAAGCATTTAATGGTCACCCCCTATACAGGGTCACGATGGGTTAGAACAGACTCGGTGGCACTTAACAACAACAACAACAATGAAATTCTAAGATTTTCCTAAGAAGTTGTTTTGTCTTTTTTTCCTTATGTGAAAGAATGTTATATCTTCTTTTTCAATGATTACATGTGAAAACACAATGTTATAAAGCAAATATGACTAAGACCTGTAAAGTCCACTGATAAGAGAATAAAAGGTGAAAATAAATACCTTAAATGCCAAGCTAAAAATAAATCAAACTGAAGGTGTGAAAACAGAAAAAAAAATAAAATAAACTTTAAGGTGACTATATCATTGCTAACATTTTTAATATTACTGTAATATTTTGGAAGCTATCCCTAGTCCCAACTCTACCCCAAAACTAAGTCTTTCTCCTTTAAACGGATTTGTGGTAGTCTGTGCATGTGTTACATTGGGCACCATGGACCCAAACACTCCAGGGTCTAACTCTTTCCTCAGTGCATTGTAGACACCAGCATGGCCCCTTTCCAGAGTAAGGGATTCATCTATCAACAGTACTGAAGGCCCTTCTTACTGAAGCTGAGATTTTGTCAGACACCTTCATATTGTTTCTATAGGGTTCTTCATGCTATACACAGGCAGATATGATAGGGCCATAATTCAAAAAGATTAAAACAATCCTATCTATAAAAAAATAAACAAGGAGTGTGCACTATAGATTAAGCACTGGATGGCTAACCACAAGGTCAGCAGTTCAAATCCACCAGCTGCTCCTCATAAACCCTATACAGGGTCTCTATGAGTCAGACGGACGTGATGACACTTAGCAACATAGCAGTAAATAAGTATAAGCAAGGATGTGTCATGTATTCAAAAAGATGGCTGCATTTTCAATTGGATGAAATGTACAGTTGTCTACACCAAAGTTTCTCCTTACCAGTTATGTGGCAATGTTGTTAAAATGCAGTAGGTGGAGCCAGAGACTGAGTACATGCAACAAGGTCCCACATGTTGCTCTGCAAGATCTTTGAGTAGCAAAAATCTAGAGGTCCACAAATAACAGGTCCCAAAACGATCTACATAGGAAGACGCTACTTTGCAGCCGTTTTTGAAGGTAGTAAAGAAGATGGCTTAGCCAAGGAATGGCAGGGTCAAACGGCAGAGCATTCCACAGCTGGTGTGAAATTCTTTACATGCCCTACATTACCCCCTGAAATGGAGCCAGATAACTAGCTGCCACTCTGTGTGTGTGTGTGTGTGTATACATTTTCTTGTTAAAATATAGATAACACATCTGCAGTCAACGGTTTCACATGCATAATCAATTCAGTGTGTGCTTACCAAACCATGTTTCTTTACCTCTTCAGGGTCTTCTTTTAAAGCATTCTATTTAATCAGTGAGTGGGGAAACTTTCTTCAGCAAGAAGTTAGGAAAACAGATAATGTTATAATGAAGACAAGATAACTAGCAGAGAACTTGAGATCTAGCCTCAAATATTTGAAAGTCTGTCAGCTGGAAGGAGAAGGTTGGAAGGCTGAATTTACAAGAAAGCCACTTCAGCTCAGTTGGTACAAAAGAAGTATATTTAAACAAACAGCATTATCCAGGGAACAGAATAAACTATCAAATAAAGGGAAGCGCCTTGGGCAGGCCCGTTAAGGAGAAATGTTGTGGTTAAGTGCCGTGGAGTCGGTTCCAACTCATAGCGACCCTGTACAGGGTTTCCGAGGCTGTAAATCTTTATGGGAGCAGAAAGCCTCATCTTTCTCCCACGGAACTGCTGATAGTTTCGAACTGCTGACCTTGCGGTTTGCAGCCTGATTCGTAATAAATGCATGTTAAGTCCTTCTAATTCTAGTAGACCCTGAGTCTATATCTGCTTACAAGCAGAATACAAATTAGGTCAATAAAAAGGGATTGAGGAAATCTAGGGTAGTTACTCTGGTGGTGGTGGTGTTGTGCCGTGGAGTTGGTTTTGACTCACAGTGACCCTGTAAAGGGTTTCAAAGGCTGTAACAGAATGCCTCATTTTTCTCCTATGGAACAGCTGGTAGTTTCAAACTGCTGACCTTGAGATTAGAAGCCCAATTCGTAAACCACTACGCTACCAGAGCTAGGATTCAACAAATATAGAGTGGACTAGTCCAAATCATTAGTTCCTGGACTCCATATTTAATAGATCAATAGTTTTCTTCATTGTGAAGATCATTAAGCAATGGACAACTTTTTCTTGTTCTATGTAAGGATAGTAACACACACACATAAAATAAATCTATCTGCTAATGCCTAATGTCATAAAATAAGAACATTCTGATACTGTTGTTGTTGTTGTTAAGTGCCGTCGAGTCAGTTCTCATAGCGACCCTGTATAGGGTTTCCAAGGAGCAGCTGTTAGGAAAACAGTCACAAAAGCATATTCTTAAAATTGCTGTTGTTGTTAAGTCCCACTGAGTCAGTTCTGACCCACAGTGACCCTGTATAGGGATTCTGAGGTACAGCTAGTGAACTTGAACCACTGACCTTGCAGTTCAAACGACTTTGCAGTATGGCGCATTAACCCACAGCGCCACACCAAAATGAAGCCCTTTAAATTGAATTTGGAAGACTTCATAATTAAGTTTTCTCATTTCTTATACATTTAAGAACTGTAGGGTTAAATAACCTGAAAATATTTCATACACTGCTCTGACTTGTCCAGACTTCTTTAGTTGAATCAACATGCATTGCATTCAGCGAATTCTAACGTGTCTTTGGTAACTTTGGTAAAAGTGAGCTGCTGCACTTCGAAGTTCAGATTCAAGTCTGACTTGAATGACTCTCCCTTTTCTTTCTAGGTGTATAAGGAGTGGCTCAAACTCATCTCCATTATTTTCCACCCTGACAAGATGAAGCTTGCCTAGGATTGGAAATCTACAATGGTTAAAGTTTAAGAATATACTCCTGATGTATTCTTTCTTAAAACTGGGAAAGAAAGTCCATAGTAGGGATGTTGTATTAATATAACAAGCACTTGAACTCATCTTTGACTACAATAGTCAGAGGTCTACCTCTCCTGATGGCTTCCTTTCTGTTGTCTTCTGCCCATGGGCACCTCATAATGGAGCAGATCCTAGATTCAGGAAGTGATTCTAGGACTCGAGCAAGAGACTCTTCTGACATGATGTCTGGCAGCACTCTCTTAGTGAACAAAAAGAACTAAATTGAGATGTTAAAGCTACCACCCATTTATGAAACTTCACCTCACTGCTTCATCAAGGAGTGCGTGTATGGGCAGGTTAACTGTCATGGAGTCAGTAGCTGTATAGTGACCCTGTGTAGGATTTCCGAGGAGCAGCTGGAGGGTTTAAACCACTGAATTTGCGGTTAGTAGTCCAGTGTTAGTGTACTGGTTACAAATCAGGCTGCTAACCTCAAGGTCGGCAGTTCAAAACTACCAGCCATTCCATAGGAGAAAGATGAGGCTTTCTGCTCCCATAAAGATTTACAGCCTCGGAAACCCTGTACAGTACATGAGTCAGAACCGACTCCATGGTACTTAACAACTGTCCAGTGCTTCTCCTACAGTGTCACACCAGGACTCTGAAGGAAATAAATTTTCAAGACTCAGTTATCCAATCAAACTGAACTTTTCCAAAACCCACATTTCATATCAACTCGAAACAAATTATGCCCTGGGTCAGTGTTTTCCTTTCAATGAAAAAAGAAAGGCTTTAATAAACTAAGGGACAAATTCTGCTTATTCCTTTCCATATACAAAGCACCATAGTCAGTCTGGGTGGGAACAACCACACCCTAGAAAGGTGAGCTCACTGTGCAAGTCAAGAAAATAAAAACTGCATTGTGCATGTTTCACAACAGGGCTGTGGTCACAGCAGGCGTCTTGCAGGCCAATTCATGTCTCAGCAATAGAACACTTGCCAGCCCTCCCTGTCATCTGGCTAACTCTCCTACTTAATGCGTAAGAGATTATTGAGGATTCTCTGGGTCTGTGGGCGCCTTCTAAGTGAGATACCTTTACCAAAGTCCATTTAAAAACACACAAACAGACCTGTGAAATCCCCTAAGAGAAACTGAGTTGAGAACACTTTCGAAGATAGCTTTATTGTTTCCAAAAAAAATCCATTTCCTTTAAACTTAAAAGACTTGGAATAATTAAAACCCTGGCCAGCATGGTTTTTATGTGTCATACAAAGAAAGAAGAAACGCAAACTTTTAGGGAGGCCATCTTCCCTGGTAGTCTTTGCAGTTTACTACCTGCCTAATGAGCACCAGGCCAGGTGCCTTTTGGGGAAAATTACATCATAGGCACTTACAAACAAGTCCATAAAAGAGTCCAAGCCTTTGGCCCAGGGCCCCAGACCCACAAATAAGCACACCTTGTTTGGAAGCTCCTGGATGGATTTTAGGATTAAACAATCATAGGAGGGAATGACTACAGCAGGGCAGACTTCTTGTTGTTGATTCTGATTCTCCCCAGGTGACAGGAAGAACTGGCTAACCTTGACAGAAGCAATTTGCCAGGTCTTTTCTATTGCAGAACTGATGAGTGGGTTTGAATTGCAAACCTTTCGGTTAACAGTCAAGTGTAAGAAAGCTCTTACATCATCAGTTTCCTTCTTTCTCTTTTTAATCCTATGAAATCCAGTTTGTAAGGTCCAACTTGGTGGTGTTTGGTTTTCAAGCTTTTATGTAATCCTACCTGAACTGTTCTCTCCCAAGACACATTCTTGATCACAGGAGACACAAGCCATTCTCCATATCAATCCCCCAGGCAGGAAGTGATGTCAGAAAAATGCCTTTTTGGATAGGAAAATGCTACTCTCAGTCCTATCTATTAATTCATGTAAATCAAGCTCTGAGTCTACCTACATGCCCCACTCCGTGCCAGCGGGTTTGGTTTGGCTTGGGATCTGCAACATCTTAAATTAATTAATCCGTTCTCACTGTTTCATTTCACTAAGGTAGAAGATGTGTTTGTTTTTAGAATTCACATCAGGTTAAATTTTTTTTTTTCCTAAACAGCAATGCCACACACAAACAAAATGGGCACTTCATAAACAAGAGCTAGCAAGAACTGGTGCGAAATACTAAAGTATCTACTGAAACTATAACTGCTAACTGAACGCGCTTTTTTAATTGGAAAAAGTTTCTTTCATTTGATTCAAGTTAAAAGGAATCCGCTGAGGTTAGGGCAGGCACCTCCACCTCGTTTTATGATATTTGAATCATAAGAACAACAGAGGAAAAGAAAAGAGAACGGTATGAAATTTCAGTAGGCTTTCAAAATAGTATATTTACTCATTTAAACTTTTTCAAGGGCTGAGATCTTTTGCAATGAACGACAGACCATAAGAAAATGCATACTTTGAACTAGGATCATTTTCTTCTAGTTTTGAGGCGGGACTGAGCCACCCTAAATTGGGATTGCTCTAAACGTGTACGTTTCTTTGTATTTTTAGCACCCATTGAGACCAGACCCTGGCTCGTCCCTTAACTGTGGGGCTGCTCTCGTGTTCCCGGGCCCAGCTCCCAGCGTTGGGCGGCCACTCACCATACTGCATGAGGCTCGAGCAGCCTTGCTCTTCGGACCCGGTGCCGCCTCCCTCGCTGGGGCATTTCCACCACAGTGAGGACGTCTGGGTGTGGTCGCTCGACTCCAGCCACCCGCGGCCGGTCAGCGCGACGATGTCGAAGGCGATGGCGCTGAGAAGGAGCAGGGGTAGGATCCACCTGCAGCGCTCGCAGGCCAGGCCGCAGCGCAGCATCTCGACGGGGTCGACGTGGAGGAGACGAGCGCAGAGCACGGGTGCCGGCGGAGAGTGGCCGGCGAGCGCGAGCACTCGGACAAAAGGGACGAGGGCGCGGGGAGGCGGCTCTGGCAAGGACGCTCGGGGCTGGGCGAGGGGGCGCGGTCCCCGGCCCCACCTAGATTCCGGTGACTCAGAGCACGCCCGCCCCGACCTGCCCAGCAGGCTGGGAGCACGCGGGCAGAGGGCGGGTTCCGATTACACCCGGGGTGGGTGAGTTTAACCCGTTCGGGACCCGAGCTGCCACAGAGCGCGCCCTGCATTTCCCACCAGCTTCATCTCCCTTTTCCAAGACGCTCTTAGAACAAATGCTTTTCTACTCAGTGTTTCAGTGTAGTCACAGTTTTCTCTGTAGCTAAATATTTGACCCCTCAGGTCAGATGCTGTTATTGTGAGCTACCATTTAATAGGTTCCCTACTCAGGGCGACCCAGTGTTGCGATCCATCCATAGGATTTTTATTGGCTGATTTTTTTTGGAAATAGGTCGCCAGGCCTTTCTGGCTACATGTGGGATTGTGGTTTACTTTTCAGCAACAACATGAAAGCTTCAAGCAGTTTTAGATAGTTGCTCAAATTGATGCTGTGTATAAATGCTGAACTCCATTTAAATGTTTGACAAGAAGTCCATCCCTGACCCCGTCCACGCAGAGGTGGCCACTTCCTCCTGGATGCCACCTTTGTACCACGCAACACTGCTCACTTCCTACTCTTATCTGTTTGCGTTCCTGTCTGTGCAGTTTGATCCTCAGCCCTTTAACGACAGAGGCTATGGTTTATTTGTGTGTTTATCCTAGGTGTCTAGCACAGTGCCTGATCCTAAGAGAGCTGAATAGGTAGTCAGTGAATTAGCACACTTAATCAGCAGTTCGAAACTACCAGCTGTTCCGTGGGAGAAAGATGAGGCTTTCTGCTCCCTTAAGGGTTTGCAGCCTTGGAAACCCTGTACAGGGTCACTATGAGTCGGAACCGACTCCACGGCACATAACAACAACAACAATGTAACAATGCTCACTTCCATCTCAGGAGCACTTCCACTGACATCCTCATATAGCATTTGTGTCCTGTTTACTGCAGTTCACTCCCTGTCACGGTTACAGCCCCACTATGTGGACTCTCTTCATTTAGTATTTTGAGATTTCACTGAATAAACCAGATGCCGACGTGTAACCAGCACCTAAAATCCCATGTCCAGTGTCTTGGTCCTGCTTCACTAGCCAGCATAATTCTGCAGGGAAGGCATGGACCCCGTGAAGTCACAGAGGGGAGGGACACTGGGTAGAAACAAGTCTGGCTTCACAGTGCTCATGGGCAAACCACTGCAAACATGAAAAGAGGAGCACATCTTATCCTTCCAAAGATTTCTTCTGAGTGCCTTACTTTTTTCATTGATTTAATATAAAACAAACATAAGAAAAACGTTTGCCTTCTATCTGCCCTGACTCTTGGCGACCTCGTGTGGTACACAGTAGAATAGCTCCATAGGGTTTTCTTGGCAATGGCTTTTCTTAGGCTTGCTTGTTCTTGGCTATAATCTTTACAAAGGAGTCCTGGTGTGCTGCTGAGGGCTAATGCACTAAACTGCCAGGTCCTTTTAAAGAGCAAAGTCAGCTTGAACCGCTAAGTCAGCGGTTCAATCTCACCAGCCGTTCCTCAAACCCTTTACAGGGTCTCCATGAGTCTAAACAGACTGACAGCACTTAACAACCACCACAATCTTTACAGAAGATGACCAGACCTCTCTTCCACAGTGCCCATGGGCAGATTTGTACCACCCAACTTTAGGCCAAACTGTTTGCACCATCCAGGAACCTAAATAAATTGAAAAGAAATGGGGGATACGACTTTCTTGTTATTCAAGTCGATTCCAACTCCTAGTGACCCCGTGTATGGTTTCCAAAACTGGTTGGTCAGTTTGAACTGCTGACGTTGGAGTTAAAAGCCCAGTGCTTATCCTACAGTGCCACACCAAGGTGTAGAGCTATGACTCGTCATTGTAAGTGCCGTCGAGTCGGTTCTGACTCATAGCGACCCTGTATAGGGTTTCCAAGGAGTAGCTGGTGGGTTTGAACTGCCAATTTTGTGGTTAGCAGTCCAGGAATACTATTTGTTGTTGTCAAGTGCTATGGAGTTGGTTCCAAACCATAGCATCCGGGTATAGCATTTCCAAGGAGTGACTGGTGAGTTTGAACTGCTAACCTTGTGCTTCAAATCTACCTTGCGGTCCTACGCTTATCCTAGAGTGTCACAGCACTGTTTCACATGTATGTGTACTTCACATCCTGAGTCTATACTACTATCATCTCCTAGCAGACGAGAAGACTAGGCACAAACAAATGGAGTAACTCACTCAAGATCACACATTTGCAGATACCAGAGACGGATAACCCCCCATTGTTGTTACATGATGTTGAGTTGGTTCCTATTCACAACCACACTATATAGGTTCTCCAAGGTAAGGTGGAGGGTCAGAGAAAAAGAGGAAGACCCCCAACAAGATGGATTGGCCAAGTGGCAGCATCGATGGACTCAAGCATGGCAACAACAGTAAGGTTGGCCCAGGATCGGGCAGTTTTCATTCTGTTGTGCATAGGGTCGCTATGGATCGGTACCGACTCGATGGCACCTAACAACAACAACAAGGAGCGGCTGGTGTGTTTGAACTATGAACCTTGAGATTAACAGTCCAATGTTTATTCTACAGCACCATACCAAGACTCTGTAACTCCTCATAGCAGTTTGCTATTTCAGATCAGTATTCTTCACAAAAACAGAATGTTATTTTTTCTTATGCAGTGCTCTAAAAAAAGTTGAAAACTGATAAGATAAAAAAAGCTAGCATCTAAAACCATATGAACTATTTTTCCTAGCCTTGATTTTATGTAAGCTAAGTTTGCATATTTCCATTAGAGTAACATAGTTTTCATTTTCAAAGACTAACACCGAAGGCTATTCTGTCCAAAGTTAACTGTATAAGGTGTAGACTGTATGAAGAAAGCATGTTCTCAGCATTTTCAATGCAATGAAAACACTTGTTTAATTAGCTGTGTATGGTATATGTGTGAAAAATAAAATGCTGATATCAGCAAAGTGATTTTAGACAAAATGAGAATGTCACTGGTATTTACTATCTCTGAATAACTTTGGACTAGATATAACAGTGGATTTGAGGAAAAGAGTCCGTTGAGGCTGAAGTGCTCTTTAGAAGAGACAACACCGACCTTGATTTGGTTCCAATAATAATGTAACTAATGAGTGATTGCTCCAGTTCAGATCCTTCTTCATACCAGCTGTGTGATTTGAGACACTTTACTTCTCTGTGCCTCAGTTTCCTCATTCATAAAATGTATAGTACCTACCTCAAAGGACTAATATATGTGAAGTTCTCAGAAAAGTACCTGGCACATAGTAAGTCACACTACAAGGCATGATGATGACAATGATGAAGATTCCTACATAGGTTTCCATATTTAATACATTTTGAAAGGGGGGCGTTTCATGTATCTAAGGGGTAGGTTCTATATATGGAGGGTCAGAGAAGAAGAGGAGGACCCCCCAATGAGATGGATAGGCACAGTGGCAGCAGCAATGGGCTCATGTGTAGCAGTGATTGTGAGGTTGGCTCAGGACCAGGCAGTGTTTGTTCTGTTGTGCAGAGGGTCACTTTGAGTCGGTACCAACTCGATGGCAACTAACAAGTTATCACCAGAGTCCTGGTGTGGCACTGTAGGATAAGCACTGGACTGCTAACCACATGGTCGGTTGTTCAACCCCAACTCGATGGCACTTAACAACAAGTTATTGCTACATTATTTAAATGTCTAACTCAATTAAGTGGCTAATCCTTCAGAAGTGAACTGCCTACTCCTTCCTCCTGATAATCTGATAAATTGGATTATATGAAGAAAAGTATGGCATCAGGATTGGGGGAAGGCTCATTGACAGCTTGTGGTATGTAGATAAAACTATCCTGTTTTGGTTTTCTATGTGGGAAGAAAACTTGAAGCACTTACTGATGAAGATCAAAGAAGTTTTATGGACTACGACTCAATGTTAAGCAAACAAAATCCTCACAACGGGACCAAAGAACATTATAATATATTATAATGCTCACTTTACTCAGATACACAATCAATGCTCATTCATGGAAGCAGCAGTCAAGAAATCAAACAATGTATTGAATTGGGCAAATCTGCTATACAGGACCTCTCAAGTGTTAAAGAACAAAGATGGACTAACGTGTGTTGGACCTAAGCCTTGGCAGTTTCAGTCACCTCATATACATGTGAAACTTGGACAACAAATAAGGGAGACCAGAGAAGAACTGGTGTATTTGAAGTATGGCATTGGAGAAGAATATTGATAGTACCATAGAGTGCAAGGACTTCATTCTCCTTGGATCAACTATCAACACTCATGGAAGCAGGAGTCAGGAAATCAAACAACGCATCGCATTAGGCAACTCTGCTGCACAAGACCTTTTTAAAGTGTTGAAGAGCAAAGATGTCAGCTTGAGGACTAAGGTGCGCCTGATCCAAGCCATGGTATTTTCAATAACCTCATATGCATGTGAAAGCTGGACAGTGAATAGAGAAGACCGTAGAAGAATTGATGCTTTTGAATTATGGTGTTGGAGGAGAATATTGAAGGTGCCATGGACTGCCAAAAGAACCAACAGATCTGTGTTGGAAGAAGTTCAGCCAGAGTGCTCCTTGGAGGCCAAGATAGCCAAACTTCATCTCTGATACTACGGACATATTGTCAGGAGGAACCAGTTGCTGGAGAAGGACATCATGTTTGGTAAGGTGGAGGGTCAGAGAAAAAGAGGAAGACCCCCAACGAGATGGATTGGCCGAGTGGCAGCATCGATGGACTCAAGCGTGGCAACAGTAATGAGGTTGGCCCAGGATCTGGCAGTGTTTCATTCTGCTGTGCATAAAGTTGCTATGAGTTGGTGCCA